GACTAGTAGAGATTATAACACGCATGTTTCATGTATATAATATATATTATAAATGCCCCATGGATTGAACCTGAGCCTTTATATGCCCCAAGCATGACTCTATGGTTGCAAGTGGTGAAGGTATGTGGCCTGTGTTGTCTCAGTTAGTTTACTAGAACATGTGTAGAAAGCTATGCATGAGAATGAATATCTTCACAATACAAGAGATGTATTTGTCCGGTGTCAAATATATCTTCGTCAAAATAAATCGTCATGTATTTCTGACGAAGATATATTCGAGAAACCGGTCAAAAACATCTCAAGTATTGTGAAGATTTTCATTCTCTCCATATACATTTCTACGTTTGTCAACATGAATACGGCCCATTACAAACATATATGTATCCCTGAACTCATCACTGCGTCTTAAGATTTTTGGGAGCAGTGCCATTCAATTCACTTCCATGACAGTGAAAAAAAATCAACAACAGTGACTGGTTTTCCCTCGTGAGAAATTCGCGAGGCAGCTGCGTGTAGCAGACCTTAGAGCGAGTAGCAACATTACATAGCAGTACCGGAGGGTAGTTAACTTGATTTTGATATGGTTGATAGAAGATATAATGGAAAAGCGAGATATAACCTGAAGCTGAGGAAATGAAGGAAAGTAATCAGAGAGAGAGAGAGAGAGAAGAGAGAGAGAGAGAGAGAGAGAGAGAGTGAGAGAGAAAGAGAGAAGAGAGAGAGAGAGAGAGAGAGAGAGAGAGAGAGAGAGAGAGAGAGAGAGAGGAGGGACGAAAAACACTTGTCTTTTGTTAAGACGGTGGGACTCCCCCCCCCCCTTCTCCACTCTCTCTGGTCCTCCACCCTAGACCCTGTTACCTGACCTTCCTTCTCTTTGCAGATGCGCCTCTACCCACCTGGCAGCGAGAATGCGAAGAAGTGAGCGAAAACAAACGAAGCCAGAAGAAAATTAAGGAAAACTGAAGCCATGCTTTCAGGAATTCTGAAATGCGATCTTCATCAAATGTTCTACGGCTGTGATATGCGTGTGTATGTGTGTGTGTGCGTGCTATATATATATATATATATATATATATATATATATATATATATATATATATAATATATATATATATATATATATATATATATATATATATATATTATATATATATATATATATATATATATATAATTTTTCACACACACACACACACACACACACACACACACACACACACACACACACACACACACACACACACACACACACACACACACGCACACACACGGACCAAAGGGAGAGAAGAGGCACCGAAGGGGGAACTGCGCTAGATCGCCAAGGAGAGAAAGGATGATATTAATGTGTAACAAAATATCCGAAAAAAGTAATAGATAAGGATACTAATGCCCTTGTACATTTCATGGTAAAAAAAAAAATGTAATTATCCTAAACTCATGTTTTCTCCGTAAACTTTTCCTGCTCAGTTGTGCCAAAACACAGAAGAAAGATAACTGATTATATATATGCATAAATTCATCTCAGCAGATTAGATATTGTGTTTGGGTGCTCTAATGGGCTCTTATTTAGAAGTTTAAAAATTTTGAGTATTTTATCTAGATTTGATAATGTAAAAATACATAATGTCATTATTATTAGCGTTATTTGATTTTGATTATATTTGCTACCGTCTTCATGTTGTATTGTCAGCGTTTAACCAGATAACATGTTCAGAAATTAAAATTTTAGAAACAAAAAAGTAGGTAAAGTTTCTGCTATTTTTATTTTTAACTTTGCTAACTGGTTAAACGTGCGCGCATTTGCACCGCTCCATCGCAGCCGCTTGGAGCCGTGTGACTGCCGAGTGAACATTACCCTTCCGCTAGAAAAACGGGAGCGTTCATTCGAACGACTGTTGTTTTTTCATTTACTTTTTTTTTTTTTTGTTGTAGGCCATAAGGAAATGTAAAATGTCAATATTTTTCTCTTTTTTACATTGTTACAACAAGAAGTTTACTTAATGTACGAATTTCTGTAAAAACAAAGTCTTTGGTTAATCCTCCTAACAACAAAACACTTATTTTTATCATTAAGCTCCGTGAGTAATATGCGTGTAGTGTCAACTTGCAAATCACTTTACCCTTCGACGAATTAAGCTTCCGGGACCTTGGAAATTTTTACGCTGTGAAATGAGGTAGACTACGCTACACCAAAGAGATCTTACTTGAACTAAGCGAATACTAATAATATCAGTGGCCTTAAAATACACGTTTGACCCGTTATGGAGCAGACTAATGTGCTAACAGGTGAAAGAAAAAAATATGTATGTTCTAAATTAGCTTCAAACCAAAATACCAGAATGGACGCTCTTGTATGAAAATAAAACCATTATACATGTTTTGTTTATGTGAGCCTCATTCTTCAGTCTCCCATGACATTTATTACTCCGATTCTTCGCTGGAGAATAAGTATTCAGGCGAATTGACTTAGGGAGGGAGACGACTTACGGTAAAGGTGAACCATATTCATGTTGGCAAATGTAGAAAGGTATGAATGAGAATA